TGTCGTTAGAGCCAGATCTAGCACATCGCACACAGCTGTAACTCATCGCTCTCAGCCCTGGCCCTGCTGTCGTGGCAGACAGTGGATTTTCAGCACGCAGTCACGTTTGAACCATCACGGGTTAACGAGGTCCTGCACATGGATTTCTGCCCGTTACACTCCTGACTAGGACTCTCTTCATTCACAGAGGGTCCCCCGTCATATTTTGGAGATCCGATGAACAACGGTGGCGGTACGAACATCACGCCGCTATGAAATTGGATCCGCTGAGGTTTATCCATATCTGCTGGTTTTAATGTAACTGCGGGCAAGTTACTTATCACATTGGGAGGCCCTCTCAGGTTGACACAGCACATGCTCATGCCAGAGAGGGCACAAATCGATTCTTCGAATGTGTTCCTATTGTGATCACGAGTACCTTCCTTCGTTGTTACTCTAGCTCTTCCAAAGATTTGAGAACCAAGCGCTATTTTTACGACATGGATCCAAATCCAATGGAGCATTTTAGTGTTCTAGCCTAGCCTCCCTCATCACATTTTTCTTTGATCTCGCAAGATGATCTTGAAACATCAGTTTGTCTCTTCTCTGCACACATGAGAGTTGTCGATCTGGCTGGCCCTGTCGAATCATGACTTCTTTTTATAATGATACTGAATGCGGAAGCAAAAGACTTAGATTCCTAACTCCTCAAAGCGTTCAAAGAGTTTATTAGATGAATATTTCAGAGGGTGTAGGGTTTTTGGCCAATAAGTCATTGTCATATGCTGTTTTCCCCTCAGGGCTAGAAGGTATGGTTAAGATGATATGTGAATATTGTTCGATAGAACAGTATTATCTTAACCAAGGTGAACTCATCCACATAGACATGCATGTTTACATACTTATTATATATACATGACCATTCTCGCGTATTCAAAATGTAAGTTTTTTTGCAAATTGTATGTGAAACTGACGTGGGAAGGAGTAAAAAGAACTGGACCCAATCTTGATACCTAATAACCAGGCATGACTATCTTTCTAAATTATTTATAGTGATGTTCACTCTAGCGACTAAATTAACCGTAGCATCTAGTTTGTGATTGGCTCAGAATTCAACTCTGAATTAGTTTGTTACCACTTCGGACTCATAGTCCCCCGAGTTGAATACCAGAGTTTGTAAATTTAATTCTCTTGTACACAAGACTCACAAATGTGGTGACGGTGACTCTCTCTCCCACTGTCTCCGAACCCTCACTAGCTCTCAAATGCATTTAACGCGACCTTTAGCACCAAAGTGCCTAAATTATTTTTTTGAGTCTACTAAACTAAGCGTATTTAGGTAATTTGGGCGAATTACTATTATAACCATGATAAGTAATAAGGCACGTAAGGCCCCAAATTCCGAGATTGGAATATAATTAATTCCAGTATTCCTATCCATATTTTTTTGACATCGTTTGGTCCAAAAATCTATTAACATCATTATTGTCTTGTTTTGACTGACTTTGAACTCTGCCTTAGTATAATTTAGGCTCAAGTATCATATTTTTGATAATTCGACTCAAAATACTCGACTTGCGTGTAGGGGATATATCACTTATGTTAAGCATCACGTACTTGCAATCTTGTATTAGGTCTTGTATGTAAGTGGGTGTTGAGAGTGTGTTTTCATTCTAAATTTAAGAAGATTGAAGCCTTGAATTTCTTATATATATTTATATAGACCTGATAGTTGTAGATTCACGTTTGTGATTTTTAGTTGTACCATAGTGAGCCAATATAAAACCTCATTCTATCTCCAAGTGATTGATTATCAGCCTCCCAGAATATGATGCGTGAGATTATTTTCAAATTATGTCTTTAATTTTTTATTATTCTTCCGCTACTATCATTAATTCTTAATATCAAATGGAAGTAAGGTATTATTGTCTTTAAAGAGGATAAAAGGTTGCATTCGTAGTGTGTTCATGGATGGTGCAAAGACTTCATCTTTCACGACGAAGATAGAGGGTTAAACTTTAGTCATGTATATTTTTCGTTATCTTGTTGACTAATCAGTACACTATACACACGCTTGCTTGTTCGTATACAATTACTGCGAAATGCTACATGTGTGTGTAATATTTAGACGTATATAAATTTGCTCTAGATCCGAGGATTTTTGAGTTTATAGAGTCAGGATAGAGCAAATTGTGCACACACAAATTTCTCCACAAATTTTTTTTAATCATCAAAAGATGAGTTTACTTATTATCACCACGCATCGGTCCAAAATGTGGCTAGAGTCATACCTTTTTAATATACAATTTGTCAATATGGAACAAAAAATTGACGCCTTGAAATTTCATACACAAATGTTAGAAAATCAATAAAGAAAAGCGCATGGGCGGCGAAGAATTGGTGAGCATGTGCGATAAAACGGATCTGTCACAAAAGTTATGGCAGATCAAAATTGGGAGACACGGGTTTAGTGATTTTTACAGTAGAGGAAGAACCTAAAAAGTAATGTATACTTTACTTTTGAGTATGAGTAGTGAAGTTTTTTCATCAATGATTTCCTATGCTATCGATTTTCAATCTTGTATCACAATAGCACATCATGCAAGCGTCTCATACAGAAGATTTTTGTTAAGTACTTGAGTGTTTTTTATAATATGTGAACTTGTCCGTAAAGACGAAAAATCTCAACCTTTGGTAATAAATATCTTCGAGATAGTAATCATATACACTAAAAACATATTCATTCAGTTGAAGGCTCAAGCATTTGATAAAAAATCTTGACAGATACATGTCTAGATCACTTTCCCCATCATTATAATATTTCCAGATTTTGAAATTTTGAAAGAGGAACTCTGGGAAAAAAACCCAAAAATTTGTTCTGTATTTCCGCAGGTTGAGTACACATTTGGAAACTTTCTATAATATGGTTACTAGATAGAGTTATATGCAACCATTTTGTACAAAATGTTATCCTCTGGCCTTATTGCGGCTTTTTCCTCTCTGATGGATACTCGCTTACGCAGGTATGAGGTTTTTCCATAACTAAAGAAACCTTTAGAACTTACTTTCTGAGTGCACTCTACTGTTCTTAGCTAGCCCATTGCCACCAATATCAAGTAAAACCGTAGTGGTCATCAGATTCAGCTAACCCTTTCAGAGAAACATGACATTTCTATGGATCAGGAGAGGATGAATAAGCAAGTAAAGATATAAATCATAAAAGTAAAGTAAAGGTTTGGAGTCCGACAATGGTATCTTACTTCTAAAGCGGTGCTTCTTACTTGTCTCATCATACGTTGGTTGGTGGAAAAGAGAATCATTTAGTTGCATGTAGATTCCTAGACCTTGTCACTCTGATAAGTAGGCATCTCCCCAAAAACGAACTTTGGACACACCGCCCTACACAGAATCTTCTTTAAGAAAAACTATATGATAATCACAAACCTACCATTATCTTATATGGAGAAGTACACTTACAGCTTACTTCTACTCCTTACTCTTTACTTCTTTAAACTCTTTCTTCGAGGTTTTTGGCCCTCTTGAAGGAGAGCTTAAGTTTATAGTGGAAAATAGAAATGAGTGAATTGAAGTATCGTGCGATCTCTAGCTTGCCAACAATCTGAGTGTCAAACTGAACGCATAGTACTGCAAAGTAGACAAAGTAGGCTTTCTCATCATATGATAAGTGCAGACTTGGTAGGTCGCAAAGACGTGCTCTCGTGGTATAGATATATCTATTGCGATGCGAGAGCTCGCACAAAAGGTTTTAACCTGCTTCTTGCTTCTTGCTGGTAGGCAATTATCTGTCCAGATCATGCGATGCACCGTGGCAACCGTATAGAGTATGGTATATGGTATCTATACTAATCGCTGTGTGAGGTATGAACATTTATGTGAAACAAAGGTACCGAGGAGTGAATTCTCCCTTTATTGAGGGGATATTTTTCAGTTCAGACATTGGCTAGAAATAGTGTAGTATTAGTCCTATCTAAGGTAGTGTAGAAACATACCATTTGATTTCTACCTTTAGTGCCCCAAATGTGTTTGGTCCTCAGGTATGCCTTTCTTATACACTTGAATTAAGGTGTCCATATATGTATTTACCAAAAAGAAGTGTGACTGGAACACGTTGAGAGCACAATCTATACAATCACATCAACATGAATATAAGAATAATGGGTAACACATTACATGACTTCTTTGCCTTTACCAAAGAAGGGTTAAGCCCTGTAAATCCAAAGAAGTCTCCTTCGGACCCTAATTTTTTTTTTTTTCTCTTGAACCTCAATTTTGGAAAAGTAAAACTCGTAAAAATACATGCAAACTCATGAGCAAGTAATGAGCTGTTAAAATAACAGGAATGCACTAGGTGTGACATGACTGTCTTTAGTATTGAATGTATCTTTTGTGAAAGGATTTAAGTGAATTTTTACGAGATTGAACCATAATTTTGCGACATTCTATTTCAATTCAAAGTAAGATATCAATATACTTTCAATCGCACAACGGAGACGTGTCAGGACAACATGTGGGAAAATGTGATCACAAAAGAACGGTTTCCCTGAATGTCATTTGCATGCACGACGGGATTGAAATACATAGACAAGTCAGACAGGTTGGAATCCGAGTTTTAGCATTCGAAAGGCAGAGAATTCCGTCACATCAGTCGAGTGAAGTTCGCGTGGATGACACATGAGGAGCCTCGAACGGGAGAGACATCTCAATTTCATGCCATGTAGCTCCGAGCGGCAGAAACCGGAGGAAAATGCTTTCTTTTTCCTCCAGACTCCCGTCGCTGTTCAAAAGATCACAGCGGCAAGATCACACGGCCCAGCGGACGCAGGCCAGGCCCACATGGGCTCCTCAACCAACGGTCATTACCCGGCGGATCGTCGGCCAGTATTGGTGACAGCGGTGATGGCACGCAAGAGGGAAGTGACCCGCGATCGGGGCCCCGGTTGGCCGTGACCCATGGTCAGTTAAGAGAGGGAGAGAGGGAGGGAGAGTGGAGGGCGAGGGCGAGGGCGGGTACGGAGGAGGTTCCTCGTTTACACGCGCGCATATCTTGCTTCCGGGCTCTTCAGAGTTTTCCTCTGAACTACCTCTCCCGTCTTGCTTGCCTCTACACACCAACGCTGGAGCATTGTTCTGGTTGCGCTCGCATTCCGTTCTGCCTGCCTGCTTCCCCACGACCGCGGACGACATTGCCTCGTTTGTCTTCGCAAATCCATCGAGTTTCGGTCAGGAGAAGGAGAATCGAGGCCTTGTGCAGCGCGTTGCAGATCTGACGAGAAGCGCGAGAGGGAGCAAGGAGATCTTTGACGAGAGCTCGTAGCGCGTGTCTGTGTCAGGGCCAGCGAGTAGAGATGGGCCGCGGTGTGAGCAGCGGTGGAGGACAGAGTTCTTTGGGGTATCTGTTTGGTGACGACCGTCAGTCTGGGGGCAAGGCCGCCCCTCCCGCTCCCGCCGCTGTGCCTCAGGCGCAACCCGCACAACAACAATCTGGTGCGGCTGCCAGCAAAGAGGCCGCGCAGGCCCAGGCCGCTCACGACAAGGTGCCGAAAGAGTTGCCTGCCGCCGGGAAGTCGGACAGTGGAACTTCGCTTAATATGGGAAATCCAAGGCTCGGTAGAAACAACAATAACTATCACCGCTCTGACGGCCAAAATACTGGCAACTTTATCACTGTGAGTTAGATCGAAGCTCTCCGCTTGCTTTTGTTGATTGCTGAGGATTGGTTTTCGGTGTCATTGGATGTTTCGATTTCGGATGTCAAGTCGTGTCCGACTCCTCTACACGTCCGAAATGTGGCTCTGAAGACTACGTTTGTGGTCCTCTCGGCTAGCATTATACAATGCCGGGTCTTAGATGTTGGAAATTGCTTTTGTGGATCTATCCTTAGGCTGATGTCTTGCTGACTAGTCGTCTCGATGTTCATGTTCTTTCGCTATGGTTTACGTCGCCTGTCGGTGGAAGTTGCTCTCCCTGTTATCTGATGTTCATTTGGTCGCCGTTAGATGGGATTGCTGTCAAATTGTTCTACGGAAGTGTGTTTTGAGCAGTGCCACATCTTCTTGGCCTACTTCTAACACGATATGTGGTCGATCTTTGTTCAGGATCGTCCCACTACTAAAGTGCACGCCGCTCCCGGCGGAAGCTCATCACTTAATTATTTATTCCAGGGAACACCGAAACCTGACTCTAAGTAGACCCACCTTCATGTACAAGATTGCGCCCAGTCGACTCTGTGTGCACCTGCCTTGTGTCTGAGATGACGTCTTTGGGTGCCGCCGCCAGCAAAGTCGTGCTTCCAGACGGTGGGCTTCTTAAAAGACAGGCGGCCCTCCCCCTTGTGACAGTCATCCCTCTTTTTCCCATCAGTAGCCACTTAACTGTGGTATTTAGGAGATAATCTCAAGCTCTAGCTATTGTAGTGAATCAACCAAAAAAATAGATGTCGATTTTGAGTAGTTGGATCGTGTCCAGCCGTACGTGGATTCAGAGATCCCTCTGGTATCATTTGTTACTATGAAATGAAGCCATTTTCAATGGAATCTGTCCAATATGCTCTTCGAAGAACTTCTGTATGATACGAGCTTTCCATCAATACAGTTTCATTTAAAGAGTGTTTTTGTTTGTCACTTTATTCTCTTCTTGTTATAAGACCCATTGGGTCGGAAAATCATAGCACTTGAATTTGTAACTTCACACCGTACGTCGTTCGAACGTTGTCCAGCTTTCTTTACTTAAATGACAACGTCACCCCGCAGTTGTTGTATCGTAGATATGTGCCTAGCAGGATATGGTCTGTCACTACTTTTGCTTTTTCGGCGACTCCCTCTTTACAGCACTGCAATTGTGGATTGGTGAAGAGATTCTTTCCTTCTGGGTTCGTCTGGCTGTGCCATCCCACTCTGGAGGTAAGTACGCTGTGACTTGCCGAAGTCTTCGTCGTTGCCGGCTTCAAGACAAGGTGGATCGCACTGAGCTGCATGTCAAGTTCGGCAAATGTAGCTTCATTTGAGATCTCGTAACTTTTTTTTCTCATACTGCCATCTGTCTTCCCTCAATGATGATCTCTTTCGTATTTAGCGCAGCTGGTGTCGTAAATTGCCTTTGCTAACCTGTACCCAGTCCGGGAACTGCTTGAAACATAGTCTAGTGTTCACAGTGGCAATTGTCGAATCGAAATACATCACACAGAACATAAATTCTTGATTCTCTAAGTTACAACTTTAGAAGACCTTACCCCATCATGGTAAGAAATCGAAGAGACTTACTTTTCGTGCGGATCAAATCGCAGCCTGCGTAGTCTTCCTTCCTTTCTTGTTCAATGGAAGTGGGAACATGGTTCCTCTGACCAGCTAGCTATGATTGTGGCCTACAGCATGGGCTTTAGACTGTGGAGGACTCGACTCCTATGCCGGGACCTCATCCTACCCACTCCACCACGATTCCGTGACTACCGCTAGTTTATCCACTGGGAAGCTTAGACACCAATCGGGGCTTCCTTAGAGCTATTTGTTGTCCCTAACCGCGGGAGTCAACGCCCTTCTAAATTCCTAACCCACGCCTTGTACATTGATTTCAAGTTGTACCTGGCATTGCCTGCGGCCTCATGGCCCTATCTTCACATCAATCTCTTGTCGGCCGTTTAGTGCGAAAGCTCGATATTAATTACAGATAGTCACGTAAAGAATAATGCCCGGACTCTAGAGAAAATCTTACCCACGATTAACAGGACAGATGGTAGTGGTCGGAGGCAACGGTGTTTGGAGCGGAGCAACCACGCTGAAAGTGTAGCACGTAAGGCGAGAAAGCTTTGAAGTAATTGTTTTCAGCTAACCGAAGAAGGATGGCATGAGTGCTGCGAACGCACAACGATCAAGGGATTTGCATGAGACTAGGTCCTAGAAATGTCATAAAGTCTATAGAAACGCTTATCTACTTGGAAAGGGTTCAAGTGCCCCAAATAATCGTGCCGAATGCCGCAGGCCATAATGCCGTGCTGTCAGAAAACAATGTGAAGTGATGGATTTCACTCTTCTCGTGCCCAACACGTGAAATGAAAGATTCCGCTGCGAACGTCGAAGACCGATCGGGAACCAGGTTGCAATTGCGATGATGGGACGGAGAGCGAGGCTCTCGCATCCATCGAGATCCAGGTCAGTCGGCTCCTCTACTGCGGACGGGGCAACGACGGCTGGAGCCTGCGCGATCTGCAGGCGGATACAGTCCGGACAGAATTTTCGCTTTTTCCATGTCGTCGGCAAGTAGGAGCCTGACACACAAGCGGGGTGCTCATTAGAGCAGCAAGTACCGGAGGAAAGACTTACACATCGGCCGTAGCCTCCACTGGGGGAGGAGGACATGGGAGGCCCTCGGCGTCAGAGGCCACAGAGCTACGGCGCTGCTGTCTCTCTCGGGCGGTCCTGTCAGACGCCGGTGCTCCTCTAGGGAGCGGGCCTTTACGCGTCTGCTTCCTGGCGCAGTGTATGGCATAGTGATCTGAGACCAGTGCAGGGCACTCAGTCCCGCTCTGGGCTCCGCATTGGCTCATGCTCTCGTCCTCGGGCTCCATCCGTTTCTCTGCACGTCTGGAGCGCGGGAAAGAATCCAAGCCGGAGGCCCTTTCTCTCACATGAGATAGACGAGAGAGAGGCGATCCATCTGCTCTGCACCGATCACAGACACCACCTGGTCCAAGAGCATGACGTCTGCGACTCACTGCATGCCAAGTCCCATGACATCGCTATCCGTCCTCGTCCCCACTTTCTCCGTGCTCATCGAACAATGATCTCTTCGAAGCATGAAGCCGAAGCTTCCAAGCTTCACTTCCTTGGATGCATTAGCTCCTACGTTCCCAACCGTCTCGCGGCTCACGTCCGACCCATCTCGCGTGACATTGCCAGTCGGCTTCTTGTACATGCGGTGCTCTTTTTTATTGGCTTCTCTGTTTCCATCTGCAACACCTCCATCACTTCGAGGAATTCTTTCTTTTCTTTCTGCAGCTGGATCCGCACTTATCGCTGTGACAAATAAAATGTACAGTACATTTTGGAGCTTCCAGATTTCACTTCTGATCATTCAGTTCGTTTTGATCAGCCGCGTCCAGCTCTAACTTTTTGATTTCCGTTGCTGTAGACTCGCAAAGTGTTAGTACATCGTCTTTAGCATCGAGATGAAGTTTTCTCTTGGACTGTGTCAAAGTGGACGTTTAGAAGACATGGATGCATCACCCATGGAACATACTTTCCTCAAGCTAAAATTTGGATTTTCTAAGGTTACCAGTCCACACTACTGTCCAGCTATGGTCGCCTTTATTTTTTTATTTCTCGAATAAAATATTTTCATGATTTACTACGACGGTGATCATCAACATTTATCATGATACATATTATTATAAAAAGTGGGATAATAGCCAAATATACAAGCATTTCGTTGAACATGCTGCATGGATAACGATCATTGGGTTTAGGGTCTACCCCTAAACATCTAAGTGCTCAATGTTCCGCGTTTTGTGTACTAGTGAAGATAGTTATGTCACATCGCCGTAAAATTATGGAATGCTTGTTATCGTAAATGGTAAGATTTCAATGTTTCAAATTCAGATTGACTTTATATATATATCTTTAGGTTTTTAAAATAAAATTTTGAATGTATATATTATATTAACACTAGGTGTATATATTGTAACATAAGTTTTTTTTATCAAACATCATATTGTATAGATCGCAGAAAAATTCTTCATCCATATAAAATTCAAGTCTCAATTTTTCTTTAACATAATGACAATGTATATCAAGACAACTTTTGCAATCAAATAAAAATAAAAATATATAAAAACGCAGTAGCTAAATATATTAAAATATTTTTTGAATATAATTCGAAAAATAGTTTTGTGACGATTGATGAGATATATATTTTTGATTAAAAATTAGGATAATTATTTTTGTTAAAATTTAAGTTTTTAAAATTAAATCTAAAAAATATTTTTTTTCATATAATTTTAATCATATAATGACATGATGACAATCATGAAAATAGATTATGACAAATTTCATTTTTTCAAGCATTACAAGAATTTTGATAAATCATCAAAAACCTTAAGATAAATTCAATGCTCAAATTTATTTGTTTGAAAATATTTTTGAAAACCAAATATTAATTTGAAGCTAATTTAAAGTTGAGAGTATATGCAAAAGATACGTTGACATAATTTTTTTATATTTTGCAATTTGCATATTCAAATAATTACATGAATTTAATAAATTAATTAGTACATCAAGCATACTATATATAAAATATTTCAAATCGTTTTTTAATGTATATGAAGATGATAGATGAAAAAAAAAGACAAAACAACCAGCAAAATTTACTAAAAACTTTTGAAAATGGCGTAAAAGTGCTAATCGACCAACAGAAAAAACTAAATGTCAAAATTTAAAAAAACAGACAGCGAGGAGAATCTTTGTGTTTATATACATAGATGACAGTCAACAACCAACGATTGACAAAAAACTGTAGCCCTAAAACACTGCCAACAATAAATCAATCTAACAATCTTCCCCTTAACACATGTTGAGGAGTCAACAAACTACTTAATCTATATAATTACTCTGCGCGAGTTGCCATTCAACTTGGATTTAAGTTTGTTGAAGTGAGAATAAAAGGATTAGGTTATGGAAAGGAATCTTCGCTACGTGGTTTAAAACTAGGAGGTCTTATTATTACCAAAAGAAGTAAACCTAACAAAATGAACTAGAACTAAATTGTAGCCTAAACATAATGGAGTTAAAAATCTAGAGAGTTAACAAAGAACGCTAGTAAATTCTTCTTGTGCTTCTCATGCAAAACATAGTAGCATAATGTCTACTAAAATTTTCCAAAAAATAACTTTGGTCAATGCATTAGCTAGATTGAAATTATCTTCAATCTTGATTAGATCAATTCTTTTATTAGAAATTGCATGTGTTGATAGAATGATACATGATGATAATGTGTTTCATTTTCTTGTACATCAATTGATTTGCAACAAGATTTTATGCATTGTGGTTGACAAGATCGACAACCTCATGTTTCAATCTCATCTCATTGATAATATTCTCTAGCCAAAAAGTTTTTGCTGTTGCTATATATTCAGCTTCCATTAGAGATTGAGCTACGCACTTTGGCAAGATAAATATCCAACTAATACATCCACTACCATATGTAAACACATATCCAGTTGTAGATCTCCTTTAGTCCATATCTTGTTCATTGTCAGCATCAACATATCTTCACAAGGATTTGACATTCTCTAATAAATTATCAAATAATAAAACCTAATTTTTAGTAGTTTTCAAATATCTGAAAATCCAATTCATTGACTTGCAGCGCATCTTTCCTAGATAGGACATAAATCTGCTCACCTGTTTCAACATTAAAGAAATATCAGACCTTGTGCACATCATCAAATATATGAAAATGCCCACAGTTTTGTCATAGAAAACACATGATATCATTTCTTTTTCAGTGATATGAGTTGGACATTAAGATGCGGAAAGCTTAAAATGTGGTACCAAAAATGTCCATATTCGTTCAGAGTCTGCCATGTTGAAATTGTCAAATACATGTTCAATGTACTTGTCTTGACTTAATTAAAGCCTCTTTTTTATCAGATTATTATGAATTCTCATTCCTAATATTCTCTTGGACTTATTCAAATTCTTCATCTTGAATGCAAAAATCAATTATGTCAACGTTAGATTGATTCTTCGTCAAGATGAGCATGTCATTCACGTAGAGTACTAGAATAATAAGATTGAAGATATTATTATTGACATTTTTCATGTATACACAAAAATCATACACATCCGTGAAAAATCTTGTGCTTTCATGAACTCATCAAATGATGCATTTCATTGCATATTAGCTTGCTTCAATCCATATTACAATCTCACCAATCTAAAAACCAACTTCTCTTGATCTTTATTTTCAAAGCCAACTGATTGTCTTATATAGATCTACTCCTCTATATGTCCATAGAAAAATGCTTTAATTACGTTCATTTGATCCATAACAAGACTGAATATTGCAACAAGTGCACATATTAAACAAATTGTAGCATACTTTGTTAGACCAAGAGAGTAAAGTTTTTTATAGTCCACATCATTTTCTTGTGTGAAATCTCTAATCATCAAATGAACTTTGAAGGAATTCTTATTGTCATAAACTAGATTAAATATTAGTTTTTACATTTATTTGTAGTCAATCAAAGCCTGAATCTTTGACATTTTCACAAACTTCTAAGTTTTGTTATCCACCAGTAATAGCATCTCACGCTCTATAGTGACATTCTAGTCAAGCTTATTGAAAGAGGCTTGAGCTTTCATATAAGAAAAGATTTTTCTTCTTTCAAGATCAAAGTAATGCTATCATCATACTCTGTATCGATATCACAATGTTAAAAAATGTATGAATCAGCTCATAATCTTTTCTTGCAAGAGCTCTATTTATCCAATTCAATGATAATCTAGAAGAAGATTCTAATTGATCTTTATTGTCTGATTACATACTTGACTGTCATCAACAATAATCTATTACTTAGGAATTTGTTTACTTTGTATCAGAATTTCTCCTTGTGTCATATAATCAATCATATGAATATATATTATTCCCACAAAAATATTTGTGAATGAAGAATTTTCCTTGTGAATATGTGGAGCCTAAAATCTTTGACTCTTTTTCAATAATTTGGTCTCATTGATTGAAACATTTATATTGACATTAACTTTATAGACTATTGGATCCTAGAGTCTAGATATCATCACACTATTAGCATATTTAAGAAACAACATTTATGGTTTGTAAGATCCAACTTGGTCTTATTCTCCTTGGGTATAAAAATGATAAACTATACAACCAAAATTTTCAAACCATTGTAATAATCATCCATTTGTGATTCAATTCAAATGGTGCCAAGAAATTGATTGCATTACAAGAAAAAAGGTACAAATATACTACAATAATAACAACTTCAACTCAACATACTACCTTTTTCAACACTGTATGATCAATTCTCTCTGAAACAACATTCTGTTTTGGATTATAAATCTTGATGAGATGACAAATAATCGTACACTAGGATTTAGAAAAAACCTCACTCAAAGATAAAAATATAAACATTGAAGATGAGAGATATCAACAATGATTCTCTTCTCCTTTATATAGCTTTTGCCAACAAGAACAAGGAAATAAGATCTTATCCTCATCAATCATTTCACTCATAGTAAATAAATGATGTGGCGGATAACGCTACCAAGCATAGTGATTGCTGACGTGGTGTTCTCAACTAACACATTAACTAGCACATTCAATCCTTACCTAACAAGCACACGAATTGCTAACGTGTTGTTGTCAGCTAACACATTTACTTTCTATCTAAACATGCGGATCGTTGAGTGGCAGCTATGACTTGTGCACACTAAAGTGAATATAATTTTAATTTGAGTAACTTCTATTTTAGTTCCAACTAACTAAAGATGATTACAATAATCCTTTACACTTTGTTAGTAATTTCAAAATTCAAAATTATACTTTCCGCTGTGATTTGTACGTAAATATCTCACCTTGTGTCCAGTTTCTATCTCAACTTGGACTATTTAATTTTTGAAAATTATAAATAACTCAAACTTGTGTGTGAAAAAATAAACCAACACAAACCTTGAATAATGATCAATAAATAATACATAATAAAACTTCTCATACAGTGAGACTTCTGAAAAAAATTTCCACACGTCAATATGTACATACTCAAGAATATCCATGGAACTATGAGTTCGAACACCAAAGATTTGACTTTGATATTTGCATATGATACGTTACTCACAAAACTACAAATAAATTTTACCAATGTCAAGTAACAATATTTTTTTTGCCTAGAAGTAACATCTAAGGATAAAATTTGAGATCTTACTAATCAAACTAACAACACAAGAGACACACTTATAACATGATTCATCCTCAAGGACTACGTCCACGGAGGAATACACTCGATAGAGTTTACATAACATAACATAGTGAAAACATAACATTACCGTAGGCGACCAATCTTAGCTATAAATAGCTACACATGAAACCGCCGCTCTGCCGCGGACTGCCCTTCTCCGCTCCTTGCTCTAACCGCGCGAGGGGATTGGTTGCTCCGCTCGCGGATTGACTTTCATCTAACTTGCGCGCTGGTGCGAATCACATCACAAGCTGCAAATCTTTTGCGATTTGCTGGACTCTCGCTCCGCACATCACGAATTGATCACGCTCACTACTTTTGCAACACAGC